GATAAATGCACAAAAAATTGTAAAAATCATGACAAGACCATCAGTTCGTATCCAAATTTTTTAGAAAAAAGTTACTGAGGGATTTGGTAAAGAAATTGAATTGCATCTTGATGTTCGTCATCGTTGGAAATCCCTGTATTCAATGACTGTGCCTTTGTTAAAAACTAAGAAAAGCTTATTCTAGACATTAAATGCTTTTGATGTAATCAACAACTTAGATTTTGAGTCAATAGCTTCTTTACACGCTGCTTTAGAGCCCGCAAAACTAGCAGTAGAACTCCTTAGCAGAAAAGATGCAACGTTATCAACCGCAGATACTGTTCTTGAATTCATGCTATCAAAACTATTTGCCATGAATACAGATATTGTATCTTTATTGCATTCAAATTTAAAAAGGCACATCGATGAAAGAAATAACGGAAATGTTGTGCAGTCGTTAATAGGCTTCAAAAATTCTTTTGTTGTTTCGTTAAAAAATACTCTAAATTTTTTATTGGAACAACTACGTTTAGGCAAGTTTTTTGGATTTCCTTCCAATGATGAGGTACCACAATAACTGAAGCATCATGTACAACATGCAAAAGTTCACCTGTTTCTCTTAAGGATAAATTAAATGCACTTCTCAATAAAAATAACACTTGCCTAAATCTACTGATTAATTCAAATGGTTTAAGCAAGAGTTTTCGTTGTTCTAAAATATGGGCAAAAGAATAGAAAATCTTGAAAAACTTTGGAGTGCCATACTCTCTATAAAGCTTATCTCAACAGATTTCAAAGCGTTTTTTCAAGCTGCACTAAACAACTCTCCTGTTTTTGTTCAATTTAACCAGATAGTTCACAACTCCTTCTTTACCAATGTCTCTTAGTAAGCCAGAATTATCAACAAACCTATGAGTTTTGAACGACAACTCAAACCTACGCGCCTCGGCCCTGTTTGTTAAAGTCATGTTTCATAGTTATAGAGTTGAAAGAGGAAGGATTGTAACCACAACTAAAAGTAGCCTCTTCAATTGAAGTGGCTTTCATAGCCTTGGGGAGATAAACTGAAATAAAAAGAAAGTAAAATGTAAATAAACTATCGCTAAAGTTAAGACATGTTTTTGAAAGAGTTTCTCTATGAAAAATATATCTCAATTCCAGTTTTATTAACATATAGTTTTGATCGTTCACTAAAAATAATTAAAGAATCGTACGTGTAAAGTTTTTCACATGAAAATATTTTTTTAGTAATACGGTAGTAGTTAAAGTGATTTCACAATAAATATTGACAGACTCAGACATAATAAACAACATCAGTAATGAAAGTGACAAGAAGCATTTATCTTGTTCAAATCTATGGTATTTTGATAAGTTATATTGGTTTGATAAAGTTAAAAAGGTCTGATAAAGTTAAATAGGCCTTATGTACCTTATAAACCCAATAAAAAACACGCTTTTCACTTGTAAATAATAAAAAAAAAAATTAAAGTGCATTTTCAAGTAGTATCTTTCCGAGTTTTAAATAATTTAACTCTCAACTAATTTAACCAGTATCTTTTTCAAAAATGAGAAAAATTTTTTTTTTTATAATTAAGTTTAATAATAATAGGATAGTAATTTTTATTCAATTTTTACTTTTAAATATTATATCATTTTAATAATAGTGGAATAAAACAATATTTAAGCAAGACTGCTCCGACAACAAAACAATTTTCTCTTCAGACCCCACCGTCTTAGGGCACCCTTAAATTTTTGCTCTACAAAAAAAAGTCTATGCAATCTTAGTCTTTACAATGTGATTGTATGGGTTACATTTAAATTTTCTTTATAAACAATGATTTTGATTAAGTTTAAATATAGCTATGATGCTGTTAGTTAGATAAAATTTTAAGAGAGTGAAAAAAAAACTAGTAAATAAAATTATAAATTCTAATTGTGTACATAAGATTAAATTTTTTTTTTGATTAATTTGATTTTATTAACAATTATTTAAAATTTTTATTATTGATCGTTTTTATTTAAAGTTTGTTTTTCTTAGACAGCCAAGTCTTTGCTATCAGCGTGAAATATCAACAGGAATTATTACTTGTAAGTATTTGTTTAGCTATTCGATAAATTTTGAAAAAAAATAATTGATATTTAAGTTGATTTATCATATTTAAAAACTAATTTAGTAGTTTTTTTTATATACTTTTAAAAAAAAAATTTGAACTGTATATAAAATACTTACATTGCTAAAAATAATAAGAAAAATTAATAGTTATTAGTAGTAAAAAACGCTTAATATATATAAGATGCTTAACATAAAATAAGTGGCAAATAAATATGAATATTAGCACTAAATTATTATTAAATTAAAAGTTTTATGTATAACATCAACAATAATTTTAGTAGTAACAATAATCATAATAGTAATAAAAAGATTTGCAGTCATAGCCATATTTAGTTAGCCATAAGCTAATTTAAAAGTTTCCTTGATCATACTTATGAAATATAAAATAAGGAATCTTATCTTCCAAAAGTTTACCCATTTTTTAAGATTTACACTTAGGTTCGGTTTGGTATTAAAGAGTAAGTTACTTTCTATTTACTACTTTCTACTCAGATCATATCTATGTTCCAATAAGATCAGCAAGACAATCAAAGTGAACTACTGCTATTTCAAGACATCATTCTAGGTTGGATTCGTAATTCAATTACAAATAAATTTATAATTGTAATCCAATAAGCAAATTTTAAAAGGTTGAAAATCTTAACACGTTTTTTAATTGAAAACCAGATATAAACAGATATTAATAATTATTTGGCTTTTTATAATTTTCTCACTTATTATTTGTATTCTTTAATAATTGACACAAATGAATTATACGAAATTGGATCAATTCAGTGAAAAAATGGTTTCACAACCATTTCAGCTTTGAGGAATAATTTAGCCTTAACAAATTTTACCGAATTTTTTGGACTATTCTGGATAAACAACTAGCTTATTATTGAAACTAAGAAATTTTAAATATGCTAGCAAAACATTAGTTGAGTCATTTTATGTATAAATATAAATTTGAAACCTTCTTAGAAATTATATACACCAAATTCATAAATCGACTTCAACGTAGTATTTGAAAAGAGCCAAGAATGGATTACGGTTTATGTACAATTAATTCATTAAAAGCCGATTTTTAAATATTTTTGCTGTGATTGCTTTACTTAGCCATGAGCAAATTATTTCTAAAGTTTTATGGAAAGATTTATTTATAAGTTATAGCGCATTTAATGACCATTTATCAGTCGACAAGACTTATTGCAAAACAATTTTTTTTCAATCTATAGATTTTGCTCTAAAACACATACAGTTTGATCAATTCTGTCGTAGTATGTATGAAAATTTTTAGCTAGTATAAATAAAAACTTTTAACTAGCATCAAAGACAACCTTTAACAAATATCAAAGGCAACTTTCAAAAATTATCAAAGGCAACTCTTAATAAATTTTCAACTCTAAATAAATTTTCAACTCTCAACAAATATCAACTCTCAACAAATATCGAAAGCAAATTTCAACTAGAATCTAAGAAAACTTTAACTGGTACCAAAGACAACTTTTAATTGCTATTAAAAACAACCTCCAGCTAGTATCAAAGACAACTTTCAACTTTTTTCAAAGACAACTTTCAACAATTATCAACTCTCAACTAGTTTTGAAAACAACTCACAACTAATACCAAAGACAAATTTCAATTAGTATCAAAAATAGTATTATTCAGTATCAAGGACAAAGACTGCTTTCAACTAGTATTAAAGACGACACTTAATTAGTATTAAAGTCATCTTTTAACTAGTATCAATGACGACGTTCATAGTAAAGTGTATAAAATTTGCAACATTTTTTATATTTAATTGCATTATTAACTTTGCTCAACATTGTTGAAAAAATTCACTAGAATGTTGAAAAATTCTAATCCCAAAAGTCAAAATTATAATATTGAAAGAAAAAAGAGAGTGAAGTAATTGTTCTTTTTGAAGATAGTCAAGTGGCGGAAAACATTTTAAAAAGAGAAGAATCGAACGTTATTAAAATAGAAGAGTTAGATTTTGAACATGAAAAATCAATTTAAGTTTTTTCTATTGCAGAACATTTTGAAATTTTTTAGGAAAACTTTTTTAGGAAAACATTTCTTTTTTAAAAAAAAGTTCTGACAAAGATTGGTACAAGAGTCTGAAAATACTTTTTTTATATTGTAGTTCACAAACGAGTCAGAAATGTGTAACAGATACAATTTTTAGTAGACGTTTTATTGCATACCTTGAAGCCCATGGTTCAATAGAAGAAAAATTAATATTTAATATTTAAATTAATATATAAAATTACTTTTACAAACGAATTATGAGTCATAAGTCATAATTGATGATAGTTACAACTAAGTAGATTTTAGCTATTATTTTTAATCAGGAAACAAAAAAGTTAATAATTTTTTTCCTTACTTAAGCAATATAGAATAAGGAAAAACTTAATTAAGATAAGAAAATTTAATTTTTAAATACAAAACAACTAGGGCTTGGCAACTGGTGAAATCAGCAACCGATTAATTGTTTTTTGTTTAGAAAATCGATTTTTTTTTTCTAAAACTTTAAACTGCAAAACCGATTAATAATTATTGATTACTAAATAGATAAATAGTTTCGAGATTTTTTCTTTTAACAAACTAAAAAGTAACTAAGAGCACAAATATCGTGAATATCAAATAATTTAATTAGTGTTAACTAAATATTAGTATAATTAAGCATTCAGCATCCAGAGCAATATTTGTCTCCGTTCCTTATGCTATCTTTCTAACTCGACTTCTGACTTTTACTTTAACCTATTTTGTTCTTCTTTAAACTCACTAACTCTTGGTCCATCAAAGCGAGTATATATGCTCTTTAGAAAGCTAAACGTGTCTTTGCGGTTATTGGTATGTGGCCTACCTATGGCAATTAGCCGGAAGATGATAAACCACAGTACAACAAATATTGTGAAAATGTATGTAGTTTTAAAAAGCAAATTGATACTGCATTTAGTTGTATTTATTGAAATATTTTTTCTACCATTTAATTTTATATATTTCAATATTTTACTCTCAATTATTAACAGATTACATACAGTCAGAATCTTTCAAGAATATTTCAATTTTAAAATGTTTATAAAAATCAAAACAATCCAGAAAAGATCCAATTGAGGGTTTGAAGCAATCTCTGGGCATATTTTGCACCATCGGTAAGGAGGGAGGCCTGAACTTCCTATTTAAATGCTCTTCCTTCACGCTCAGTAACAAAACCATTTCATCTTCTTGCGGAACCTAAAACAAATATGAAAAAAAAAAAAAAAAAAATGACAAGTACTATCTTGAATATTTTATCAATTTTTTTTTTATTTTTAATTTTTTTTTTGTTTTTTCATATTTTGTTTTTCTTATCAACAAATTTGTAATTTTGACTTAAGTATTACTTTAAATATTATAAATCATAGATAAATAATAAGGCAAGTACCACTATCTTTAAATAAAAAAAATAAAAAAATTAAATAAAAAATTTTATCAATTTTTTTATTTAATAATCAAAGTATATTTACACATTATACTTTTGTAAACAGATGAAAAGCATAATTTTTGTTTGAAAATAGTATTTTCATTTAAGAATAGTTTAAAAATTATTTATTGGTTTTTGAGTTGCCGCAAACTAAAACTAATAATAAATAAAAAAATTATTAATATTACTGTACATTAGGGCATCCTGTACTTTTCAAAAACAGCTTATTTATTATAAACACTTTGTTCTTTAAATTTTTTTGCTTAAAAGAATATATAAATTAAAAATTTGTTTAAATAAAGCTGTTATTAATAAATTACCATTTGCAAAAATGAATTTATTGCTATATTTTATTGACCTGAAAACTAACTTAAAGCATAAATACATTTTATGCAGAAGCAATAAAAAACCATGGAAAGTTTTTGATAAAACTAAACTTTTTACATTTCACAACAATTTTTTATGATAAATTTTTAAACAAAAAAGTATTTAAAGTTTTTGGAATTTTTTAACATTACGTTTTTCCAATTTTGCTTTTAAATTTTGAATTATTTTAACCCGCCATGTTATATAGTCAATATTATATTAAAGTAAAAAAGATAGTTTTCAATTAGTTTAAAATAAAGTTTAAATGTGTTTTCTTAAATACTTTATAATTCGTTTAATTTTTTTGTCCTGAGTATAATGCATAATCTTTTATCAGCCAATTAACGATAAAGTCAATCAAATGGTTCAGACTTAAAATTAGTACTGTTGTATACAGAGAGAAAGTAAGTTACTCAAATGCATATTTACAATTTTTATAACATTTTAATAATTTAAAATTATAATCTAATAAAATTTACGGATTTTTTTTTTATTTCTGACTAAGTTCTTAACATCAAAATTGTTTTATTAAAGTTTTATTTTTATTAAGTTGACCAAAAATGGTTTCGTATTTTCAGATTAGAAAATGTCAGTCAAATAAACTATAAGAGCGGTTAAAAGACATTTGGTTAAATGTTATGTTATTATGTTAGGTATGTTCAATGATTTTCTATTTCCGAATATCTTTCTTTTAGCTACTCTTTTTTGCCAAAAGTTTGTTTTTAAAAAAACAGTTTTTTAATATATATTTTAATATATATATATATATATATATATATATATATATATATATATATATATATATATATATATATATATATATATATATTTATATATATATATATATATATATATATATATATATACTTTTTAATCATCACCCAATATAAAAATAAGAATAATAAATTTATAAAGTAAAATATTCTGCATCGTTTAACAATATTTTATCTAGATTATTGCTGTACTTTTGAAGGTTATATGTGTTGCTGATCTGGATCACAAACGTACAACTAAGTTATATTTGTTCAATCGTATAATTATATACAGTATTGGACAAAACATTTGCAACCAACATTGAACAATGCTAAAAAGTGTTTCTAAATTTACATGTCTTGAATACGAAACGAACTATACTACCACAGCAAACAGTTCAGGAGTCTG